ATTAACGATGAATTGCCACAGTTGTAACTGACCACGATTTAGGATTCACATGACTAAGATATAAGGTTGGGAACTTTACAATTGAGGTGAACAATTTCGGAAATAAAGGAACACTTGAGGCAGTAATTAGCACACCGAACATATGGTTTGCATGAGAGGTAATCTCGGAACTCTTCACTCGACGATCATGTTCATGCCCAGAATAATCTGATAAACGATTTCTCTGAGCCATTGCGGAGCTTGAGCGAAGTAAGCTTGATTCGGAAAAAATAATACACTAATTGAGATTCTTACTTCACACAGTACTGGTACCAAAATTCAAGATGCTCAAGAAGCCCTGAAATTTAAGAGAGAGAGCGCTAAAAGAAATTGACTTTTCGTGGAACTTGTGGAGGCAAAATGTAGAGAGAGAAAGAGAGCGTGTGGTGGGGAACTAGAGAGAGAGAGAGTCCCAAAACGAAGAGAGAGAGGGACTTTTGTAACGCAGTTAAGAGGTGTAAGGATGACATTTAAATGCCAAGAACAAAAGCCCACTTAACTTAAAAACATTGGCACATAAAAGGTGAGGTGTAAAAAAAAAGGTGAAAGTGGTGATGGTCTTTAAGGACCATAATGCTTATATGGACCAGTAAGATAAAAGTTTTGTTTTAAAATATTTTATTTAGCAAAAAGGTTAACAGTCGCCCACCTATTTTAAAATAACAAGACTTCTTTCCAAACATATCAAGAAGGATGAAAAGAATGGTCCCTATGGTGTATTAACAACACAATGAACCATCACCTAAAATTATTTCTTTACTTAATTTTTTTGTTTTATTTTTATATTATTATCATTACTATTATTATTTATTTTTATTGCATTTATTATTATTATTATTATTATTATTATTATTATTATTATTATTATTATTCAGTTTCCAAAATTTTGGGTCGTCACAAAATTCTTGGCCGGAGAAGTTATACTCCCACATATTGCACATACTGCCTCACAACAACTTGCAGATAGTTTTAACAAGGCAATGGCTCGTGCTCGTCATGACTATCTTATTGACAAACTGATGTTGTTCAACCAACCTCAATTTGAGGGAGAGTGTAGAGACCGTTGAAGATCTTGTATTATAGAAAGTGTATATTTAATAAGAATATGACTTATTGTAATTTATCTTTCTGTGCAAGTTACATTTGGATATATTATATATACATGTTGATAATAGTTAATACATATATATTTTTCCTCTGTCTCTATATGTGTCGGACACATATGTCATGCATATCCTGATCCTTAGAAGTGCATATGACATAAAGAGTGGCCAATTGAGGAGAGTTATCAAGATCTAGTGCCGACTGCTTGAAAACTATGCCATCCTGACCCACCCTATTCACCTGGAAACCAACTTAAGCATATGCTCAGCAACAGTAAGGTTGGATTGCTTTTGTGTTTTGTTTCTCATTCATATTTTGGGAAATTTTTATTTAGTTCTTTTCTTTTTTCTGATCATTTTATATCACACTAGCGAAGATTCATTGACCAACAAAAGAAAGTTTATAGTGGACTATTATTGTGAAAATATTGTGGGGGGGACATAGAAATGGTAGGCAGCAATTGATATACCATTATAATGTTATGCTAATTTGCATCTATTTAGTAGTATGTGTTCTTGGTTTGGTGATCATGTATTCCAAACCTGATTGTCCAAAATCTTTTCTCAATCTGATCATTCCTATTTGCTTTTGTAAGAGCGAACCTTGTTTTACGGTTAACAATCATTTAAGTACTTTTTATACTATTTTCAATATGCACTTCATCCTTTACCACTTACATGTATGATCATATGAAAAACAAATGTATTGTTGAGAATATTTGGTGTAGATTTCTAGTTTGTGAGTATTGTAGAATACTGTACCCTGATCAACACACTCATTCTTCTCTATTCTATTGATATTGTAAATTTTGTTACACTACAACCGTGTGCTATTCTTGGGACAACTCATCCCACATGCCTCCAAGCATTCCAATGTACTCACTAAATGGCTTTCTTTGCGGTTTAATTGACATATATCTTGCTTGAGTTGCAAAATCTTGGCTGCAATATTTTTTTGGGAAAATTATGAATACCCCCAATAATACACTTCCTATGCAACTTACCCCTAATTCAACTTTTTCCCTCATTTTTCTCCCCAAAATATACTTTCTTAGCAAATACCCCCCAAGTACAAAAATGCACATTTTTTGACGAAAATACCCATTTTAGTAAAAAAATAATAATTTTGGCCGGACATTCACGTGGGCATACGTACAATACCAAAAGCCGCATGGGCTGCCAGACAGCCTAGAACCCATTGATGGACCACATTGTGTCCAGGAAAAACATGCTAGACTGCTTGTTCAATTTGCCAGACCGCATTTTTGTCTAGAAAACAAAGTGCCGGAGAGCGTGTCCGTTTTGCTGGACTGCTCTTTTGTCCAAAAACAGTTGTGCCGAACCGCTTCTTGAATTTGCCGGACTGTAGTTTTGACCAGACCAAAAGTGCTGAACCGCATGTATGTTATGCCGAATCGCAGTTTTGACTAGAAGGAAAAGTGTCAGACTGCTTGTTTTGACTGCCGGACCGCTTGTTTTGACTGTCGGACCACAATTTTGACTGAACAAGGGAAAGAGGAGAGAGAGACGTGGGTAGATATTTTCTAGGAAAGTATGTTTTGGGGTAAAAAATGAGAGAAAATGTTGGGTTGAGGGTAAGTTGCATAGGAAGTGTATACTTGGGGCTTTTTGTAATTTTTCCTATTTTTTTCTCCATAAATCTTATGCTGGAAATGTATTCTTTTTGTCCCTGGACTCCCACTCTTCATAAGTAGGATCACCTTTGAGGCTGGTTTTTTTCCATTCACAAAACTTAACTTACATTTGTTGTTGAGATACATAGTTGCAGCTCTAGAAGAAGTTTCACAATCCCCCATTTAGAAGAAAAAGTTTAAGAGAATACCTAAGTTAAAGCAAAGATTATCCATTTTCAAGAAAGACTGGGTGCTGCTGCTGCAAAGGGCTAGTTTCAAAGTGCTGTAAACTGCAAACTGCTGCAAATTGAGATTTGGTCATCAAACTGAAATTTGGTTTGCAAATATGGAGATTTGCTATGATTTGTACAAAAAGTATTTGCTTTGCAAATTTGCATCGCAAGGGTCTATGGAAGATGCAAGATTTGGAAGATAAGTCAAATTTGGAAGGCAAAGCGTGACAGAAATTTGGAAGATTTGCAAAGCAAAACACAGATGCAAAGCTTGACAGAGATTTGTAGATTTGGAAGATTTGCAAAGCAAAGCATTGCAAAATTTTTGCCGATTGTGATTTCTTGCAAAGCTTGACGGAGATTTGGAAGGCAAGAAAGAAATTGATCAGTCCTCTAATACCATGCAGAAGAAGAGGCAAGAAAGAAAGAAAAGACGGCTTTACGGTCTTTTGGCCCTACATCGCCGTTGAAAGGCTATTAAGTTGTGCCAATTATTTTATTCACCTAGTATTAAATAAAAGATAGAAGATAACAACAAAATAGAAACTACTTATCTAAATATCTCCAAAATATATCCAAAGATGTTATTCACATTTAGTTACCCCAAATATGAGATTTGGATAACTATATCATCCGTGTACCATATTTGAATAGATAGCTACACTCAATTATGTTTAACTATATCGTCTGTATACCATATTTGAATAGCTAGCTGTACTCGATTACGAACTAGGTGCATATTTCAACAAGAGACTAAAGTGAGAAAAGTAAATGAAGCGAGAGAAATTGCTTTTTCAACTAAGAGAAGAGAGGGGCGTGTATGCATCAGAGAGAATGGTTGTGATGGCAATTGTGAGTATTATTTAAAGTTAAGAACAAAAATAGAATATATACAAATAAGAAAGGCAAATGAGATGAAAGAAAAAGAGGGGTCATCCTCTTACTATATATACTATATACTAAGTACTAATTACTAAAATAAAATTTCAGTATTAAAATAAAATTTCAATATTAAAGTAAAATTCTCAAAAAAAAATCTTATACAATGCACAATATCAAAGAAAGTGGAAATCAACATGCCTAATGTAGAGAAAAAAGTATGATGGCCTTGGAGAGAAATAGGATAGTCGCCTTTGTCGCGTGTGAAGCCGAGGTTAAAAGTTTTCATTTGGGATAATATGAGCACTAAATCTAGTTGAATACATAATCTCTTTCTCTCTCTGCAAAACTATCTTATTGATATGTAATACATAATCTCTCTCTTTCTCTCTCTCTCTTATTGATATGTAATACATAATCTCTCTCTTTCTCTCTCTCTCTCAGTGAAGGCTATATGGAACCAAAACAAGGAGTCAAATACACCTATAAAGGAAATACTATACAAAAAAACCCAAAAAATTGCAGGCAAAGATTTTCTCAACATCAAATGACCTTAAAAAAATATTAAGGAAAAGAGAAAAAAAAAAAAAGAGATCCAAACCACACAATATCGAAAGACAACAAATGACCTTAAAAATATATTAAAGAAAAGAGAAAAAAAAAAAAGAGATCCACACAATATCAAAATAAAATGGAAGGCAACAAACTATATATAGAGAAAAGAGGGATGATTGCATTTGATAGAAAGAGTGTGATTTCATTCGACAGAGAATGCTTGAACTTGAAAGAATGAGAAAAGGGGAGAGACATGAAAAGTTGTTAGAGACAGAGAGCATGGAGGAGTAATCACAACTAATAACATAAACAAATGGCATGTTTTATATTACCCCATTGATGAATTAAAAGCCGCGAAAAAGATAGATTATAAAAATTATTCTCAAATATCAACTTACAAACCCTCCTGCCTAAAGAAAAAAGATTGATATTTACAGAGAGAAAAAAAAAAAATAGAAGAATACAAATAATCTTCTACTTAAAATTCAAAGAAAAAAGATTAATATTTAGAGATAAAGAAAAAAAGAAAACACAAGAGTGTATAAACAACCTTCTACTAAAAATTCCCCTAACTTCTAAGTCCCTCACATTACCCATTTGTCTCTCTCTCTCTCTTGCTTGATTTTGGTGAGTCAATGGGCTTTTTTTCTCTCTTAAACAGTGTAATGTTCTTGGATGGTCTTGATATCTAGACCCTTCAATTCAACTTCACCACAGACTCCACATTGTTGGATGGTCTCGATATCCAGACCCTTCAACTTCACCACAGACTCCACATGCCCCTTTAGATTGTGCAGTTCTTGAAGCTTGTCACCACAGACTCCACATGCCCCTTTAGAGCATGCAGTTCTTGAAGCCTGTCACCACATACTTCACATGCCCCTTTAGAGTGTGCAGTTCTTGAAGCCTGCCCATAACACCACCACATAAAACAGTTTGATATTATTTACTTTGTCATTTGAAATACAGACATATTAATTGAACATAGAGAGAGAAACTTGCATCAAAGACAGAGAGAGCAGTGCTATTAGAGAGAGAGAGAGAGAGGCAAATAGGGCCATTAAGATAAGAGTATGTTAGCCAGTGTGTGTGAGAGAGAGAGCAACATTGACAGGATTGAGATAGAAGGAAAAACTTTATGTAAGGTTGTGACCCCATACTAATAAGTAAGGTTCACCTAAAAAATCTGATAGAAAAAAGCATTTTGATGTTGGAAAACTTTCTAATTAATCATCTCGATCTTGAGACTGATGTACTATAAAGAAAAGGAAAATTCAGTCTTAAAAGTAGTGCATATTGTAATTATTTGAACCGTCTGTTTTAAGATTTTCAAAGGTTTATGGATCTACTTGATCTGCATTGTTTTTAGGAATTTAAATTTCACAATAGGTTTAAACATGAATTTTCAAGCCATATTAAAATTTTAACTATATCTTTCAACAAAATTTAGAGGTACGCCTTACTTATACAGCATAAGATAGGCACTGTACAAACCTCACCCAAGATAAATAGAGTTGTGCCCTTTAGAGAGAGAGGGAGAGACTGCATTATGTTAGTGTTTTAGCATTCACAAGAGAGACTGAGAGTTGTATACCCTTTTTTGTGAGAGAGAGAGAGGGAGATGAGCCAGACCTAGCAACTTCGGCACGACGCTTGGCTTGCTCAGCAAGCTAGGTGAGCTCCCTGTAACTGGTCTGGTAGTTGAAGAGCTGTGACGGCTCTGGGGGGCTGCAGGGTGTGGAGGGTGCGCTGGGCAAGTGCCCATTGCGCCTCTCGCTCACCCTTCCCGTAATCCTTTTTTGTTGTGAAAGCAGTCTGCACATCCAAAACATAACAACCATATCAAACAAACAACCAATGTTGAGATACTAACACAAAATGGGTTTGAACTTATAATTTATATAGTTTGGGTATATATTAACATTAGTAGGAGCCAAAAATATGAAATGAGTGTGGACATGTTTATTCTCAATAAAAAATGTACTAAAAAATCCTTGTGTAGAGGATAAAAATTAAGGTTTGAGAAAATAAAAAATTAAAAGAGCAAAATACAAGAATTTATATGGTTTAGCAAATTCAAATTGCCCTACGTCTATAGGATGGCAAAATTCTCTTCTGTTAATTGGAAAAGCACCATGCAAATATGGAGAAAATAAAGGCTTAGATAAAAGCATCTAATATCCTTTAAATTAGAATTCTAGAGGGATGTAGTGACCATGCTGTATTTTAGAGAGAGAGAGAGGAAGACATATGAGCATAGTGAATGTAAGAAAAAATAAATAGTGCAGTGAAATGAAGTAATAATGATGAGTGGAACTTTTATGTCATTTTATAAAAGACGGCAACTTGTTTAACAGGTAGTCCATATTAGTATGAGAAATTGTAGCACTCCATTTTGTATGTTTTCTCCATGATATTTCATCACGCAGTACCACAAGCAAACAAGAAACAGAGACATCAAAGAAAGCATATCACAAATAAAGGATGAGAGAGAGCTATAAAGCACGGATAGATAGAGAAAAATAGATAGATGTAGAGAATCAAAAGGGGGTATATGCCTTGTTTTGGAGGAAGGAGTCCCATGCCTTGTCACTGAGGGCATAGCGAACCACGAATTTGAAGATGTCGAGAGGGAAATATGTGATAATGGAGTAGAGCCAAATGACACCAGCCCAACCCCACCCAATGCCGGCGATCCTCGCGAAGCCCCAATTTGCATAGACAGCGATGAGGGTGGCAATGAGCTGAGCGAAAGTAAAGGCAACCAGCAGCAAGAGGCCAGGGCGCTCGATGAAGGAAAAGCTCCTTGATCGGGTGACAAAGATGAGGGCCTGGCTCACGATGCTTACTTGCAAGTACAGTGCCGCCATGAGCTCGGTATGGTTATCCTTGATAGAGTGGACTCCAAACACGTCCTGCACACAAGCACCACGATCACCATCACCATCACCACGTCACATTCAAGGATTTACTTCTAAATTTTTGTTTCACTTATGTACCCCCAAAAGAAACAACCTAAAAAATGATTAGATTTCCTCTACTCAAGATTGGGAATCTTAAAGAAGTACATAATAATTCAATGATAAGTTTATTTTCAATATCCACCGTTAGATGTAAATTGAGAGTGTTGGGTGTGTGTCATTGACTAGGCACAAACTTCAAAATAAAATTTATCGAACAACATGATGCATTTTAAGCTATTCAAATTTCACATACAATGGTTGAGGATGATTGCGACCTGCTTGTACAAAAAGTGAATGGTCTATAGTATTCAATCCCTTTAATTATTTGAAATCGGCTTTGACACCTTAAATAAAAGAAAAAATATACAAAGAGGGTTTAAGGAGGTCACGATCACTCTTGTCCATCAATTTTTTAATTAGACGGCTGTAAGAGTGTCATTGACTAGACTTGTAGTTCAAACACGAAACATTCTCGAACTTCGTAACAACCCCAAGCTATTTATTCTACGATCTAATGGCTAAGAGTAATTATAACTTCCATGACTAAGAGTAATTATAACATCCTTGTAACAAAAATAAAGGATACAATCCCTAAAAATTTTACTGTTATCTCTACAAAAATTTTCGCAGATGATATACAATCCCTATATCTTAAGGGGCCGTCACTTGGTGTGACGGTTAAAGACTCGGGTAGCCAGCACAAAAGCGTGGGTTTGAGTCTTAAGAGCGGCCACTTTGTGTATAAAAAGCTAAAGGTTAGGACCGTTTTTAGCCCACCCCTTTTGGGACCCTGCATAGGAAGGACCAGCACCCGATTACCGCCCTTTACTATATCTTGACAAAAAGAAAAAGCATATTGACTCAAATACACACGCTCTTTTTCTCTCTAACACGTTAACGCATACAAACATGTGCCCTTCCTCACTTTCCTCTGCGTGACTGCACACATGCCCTCCCTCTCTCAGCTAGTATCTATCAATCTCTCTCTCTCTCTCTAGTGGGGTGGCGTAGCGTGGCATACCGAGAAGAAGTCAGTCTTGTGCACCACCCAGAAGAAGACCACAGTCATGACGGCAAGGTAAGTCCCGAGCACCACGCCCGTTGTGAAGATTTCCTTCAATTTCCAGCTATCTGGCATTGGCGATGGCTTCACTCTGTCCTTTGAGATTGTCATGATCGTCCCTGTATCACCACGACATTCACATTACTATAAGTTTCACATGAACAAACAGTTTGGATTTTCTCAGTATGGAAAATGGACGGATGAGATCATTGTCTCTTACCGTCGTTGAGGATGGCGATTACGAGAATCATGAAAGGAGAGAAGTCGAACTTCCATATGAGAGCAATCAACATGAAACCCAACTGCCATATTTCTCCAAAAAATATATCACAAACATAAGGAAAAAGAAAAACCAGAACCAAAACTTACAAAAATAAAATGGCAAATAGCACAATTTCGGAAGTCGGAACGTACCACCATACGAATGGTGATAGAAACCGCATATATCTGTAAATAATAAGCCAGTGTTTCAAAAAAGAGTAAGAAAAGACAAGCAGAACATTAACAGGGATGGATTAGAACATTAACAGGGATGGATTGAGAAAAAGAGATTCAGTATAATAGATAAAGGAAGTACGAGAGAGAATAAGGATACCGTGTAGTTCTTCATCCTCTGGAAGATGGCTCTGCTGGTGAGAACAGCACCCACAATAACACTGAGGCCAGGCTCGGTGAGGATGATGTCAGAGGCACTTCTAGCAGCATCGGTAGCATCAGCAACGGCAATACCAATGTCGGCTTTCTTCAAGGCAGGGGCATCGTTCACACCATCCCCTGTCATACCACATATGTGCTTCCTCTCCTGTAGCTTCTTCACAATCTCATACTTGTGCTCTGAGAGAGAGAGAGAGAGAGAGAGAGGAGCTAATTATTAGTCCATGCTCTTCTTCGTAGGTTAGAATCAAAACCTTAAAGCCATAGATTATTCAAATCTTCATTATTCAGAATTTAAAATCCAAAAGCTATTATCTTTTCATATTTGTACATCTTCATATATAAAAACCCAAAAGCTTTTGTCTGTTCAGACTTGCTCATCTTCATAGTTCATAATTGAAAACCCAAAAGCCATTGTCTATTAATACTTGCACTGCACTTTGTCTTTAATTGAGAAAAAGGCAGTCTCAAGTAGTTAGTGGTTGTACTTATGGAGTTTAAAAATAAACCCCAAAAAGTGTGCTTTGATTTAGTCCCTACAAGCACGTGCGTGAAATTTTTTGAGAATTTATTACCAGGAAAAACTCCAGCAAAACCATCGGCCTTCTGGATGAGCTCGTCAACAGGGAGGCCAGCCAGTGATTTGTCCTTGCTCTGGCTGAGCAAAGAGGACGAAGGGTACATGTTGGTACCCATTCCGAGCCTTCGTCCCGTCTCCTTGGCAATGGCGAGCTGGTCACCTGTGATCATCTTCACATTCAAACCTAAGTGGAGAGCCCTCTTGATGGTCTCCGCACTGTCATGCCTTGGAGGATCAAAGAGAGGTAACACCGCTACAAACTCCCATGGCCCCCCGGCGCTCTCTTTTGTCGCCTCCGGCACCTCCTGAATCATCCATCAAACACATAATTCAGCTCTCTCTCACTCTCACACACACACACATCCATGATAACAAGAAGGGAGAGCAATGACCTGTCTGGCAACAGCCAGAGAACGAAGCCCACGATCGGCATATTTGTCAATGATGGAGTGAACCTTATTCCTGGCATCCTCTCTTAGGTTGCATAAATCCACAATCTGTATTATCATTTTTCAATATAAGCAAATATGAATTTCAGTAAATTATGCAAACTCTTAAGCTAAACCCGCTTCCAAACATCCCAACAATTTCAATCCCTACTGCTGAACTACCTAAGATAAACAAAAGGAAACATGTCAAAACACACCTATGAGATTAACTAGTTAATATACATATGATTTTGATTTGGAATAGTACAAAAAGTATAGAATGTTAAATAGTTGAAATGTGAGATGTATCTTCATAAATTTCCCATAAATAAAACCACGTTCTAAGTCAAACAAGAGGAAGCTGTTTCACACTAATGAAGAGTAATGTATCCTTCTAATTTAGGATCTAAACATGAATAAAACAAAATCTGAAACTAATTGATGGAAATGTAGAGTATCTCACCTGCTCTGGTGCACCCTTGCTAGCACGATGCCAGGAACCATCAGACTCGATGTACGTAATGGCGGTGCGCTTGTCCACAGGGTTGAATGGCAAGAAATGCACCTCCTGTATACCTGCCCGAGCCTGAGCCAACACCATGCATTTGTAAATTTCCTCTTTATCTCTCTGAGCATTGCATTCCTTCTTATTCAATCTCGATTGTTTCTTCTTGGTGTATAATAACACAGTTGAAGCTTACCTCCTTGGGGTCAGCCAACATGCTGACAATTGCAGTGTCAATGGCATCCTGGTTCTCGACTCTCGATGCCCTGGCAGCAAGCAGCACTGCCTTGTCCCTGTCCACATCCTTTGTGAACACCTGTAACCCAGATTTTATTTAGCCAAGATGATCTCTACCAGAGAGAGAGAGAGAGAGAGAGGAAATGTAAACCAGGAGTACCTCGATCATGGTCTTGTCGACAGTAAGCTTGTTAAGGGTTAGAGTTCCAGTCTTATCACTGCAGAGGACATCCATGCCGGCCATCTCCTCAATGGCAGTCATCCTCTTGGTGATGGCACCTTGCTTTGAGAGCCTGTGGGAACCAATGGCCATGGTAACAGAGAGCACAGTGGGCATGGCAATGGGGATTCCACCAATGAGGAGGACAAGGAGATTGTCAATTCCATCCCTGTACTTCCTATGTTGAATTGGGTACATCACTATGATCTCCACCAACATTCCCAAAGCAATTGAGCAAATGCAAAAGTTACCAATTGCTGCAAGAACCTGCAAATTCCCAATACAAATTGATGTTAACATTCTTTTCTCCTGTAGTTTTTACATGTTTCCTTTTAAATAATTCTGGGTGAAGAAATGATAACACTTCATTCTTATCAGAATTCTCCTGCACTTTTTGGGACGCAACATGTTATAACTAATAAGTGCCTGCTAATGCGTAGTCTTATATGCACTTACAATTTTCCTTGAGGCTTAGAAATCCATTAGTTTTGTGTAAGTTTGAAAGAAAGATTGGAAGAAACTTCAAAATAAAGAATTGGCAACATACTGAAAATGTTCTTTCTACACACAAATGAAAATAATGAAAACTAAATTCAAATAAAATGAAAATAATGAAAACTAAATTTCAAATAAAAACTGTTCTCTCTTTTCTTTCTTTTTTTTTTTTGTGTGTAAGATTTTTTGTTAAAAATTTTCCCAGAAAATCCCAAATTTCTGTAAATTGACAGAGTTACTAAGTCCTATCCATTTTTGGTATTTGAGTATGGACATCATATTTATGTTTTTCATTATTTAAATGACGCAAGTAAATATTCCAAATGCATTTGTTGGGTATTCCAAAGGTTATTTGTTAATCTATTGTTAAATATCTTATTAGTAATCTCTCAAAAAAGTTTCATAGTCATCATCACCACCACTATTATCATCATCTGAGCTATATCCCAACTATTTGGGGTCGTCATTTTCTACCATCTTGCTATATTAAGGGTTGTACTCTCAGTCAGACTATACCCTCAGTCCCAAAATTTTTTTATAAAACTAATTTAAATTTATACTAATAGGTTTATATACTTCATCTCACCTTTTGGAAGTGACCAACTTGGTTAGTAGAGTCGACGAGATGTGCCGCCTTGCCAAAAAAAGTGTGGACACCAGTAGCAATGACAATGGCTTCGATTTCACCTTGCTTGCAAGTGGAACCAGAGAACACCTCATCTCCAGGATGCTTAGTAACCGGAAGTGACTCACCAGTTAAGGCTGACTGATCAATCTTTAAGGGATCGCCCACCAAAAGACGAGCATCAGCTGGTACAATGTCTCCCAACTTTATGCTTATAACATCACCAGGCACCAAGATAGCAGCCTCTTGCTCACTCCACCTCCCATCTCTAAGAACCTGTTGAAAATAAAGTAACATGAGAAGAAAGAGCCTGGTTGTCAAGCCAAAATAAGTAAGAGTGGAAAGTAAAACATTGTGGTAGTCCCCTGGTTTGTTTGTTTCTTGTAAATAAAAATGTATCTTTCATTTAGCAAAAGTATTTAGAGCTTCTTGCTCGAGTATTTTTAATTTTCACAAACACCTAGGAATGCAATCTCAGGGACATTTCTCCACACAAACTCTGAGAAATTTTTCTGAGCCCGACCATTGACACACAGAATCGGATGTATTTCTACCAAGCTTAGACAATCTTATTGACTGTTTTTTTTTAGTGTTAATGGAAGCAGTGACTTTACCTTTGTCTTTGGAGCAAGACCAGCCATTAGAGCAGCTGCTGCATTTCCAGCATTGTTTTCTTCAATGAAACTGATGGTGGAGTTGATGATCAATAGAACAACAATGCCCACAAAGTCTTGCCAATCTGGTGGCTTCCCCTGCAAATTTCCAATTACAAAATTTCAGTTTTAATGTCATATCTCTTAACTTAATATTAATGCTAAAATCAGATAGCTGAACTCCAACTCATAGATATATGGCCACAGGGAAGAAGTATAAAGTAGTAAATACCCCTCCATTTGCCAGAGCAATTGCTATGAGAGCTGCCACTTCCATGACCCATGATAGAGGATTCCACATGAAACCCAAAAACTTGAGAATCTTGCCTTCCTGTTAGCCAAAACCCCAAATTTGAGTGAAAACCATAATTTTTTTTTTCCTTTTTTTTGTTAATCAATGAGGAGATGAGAAAAATTACCTATCCAACTTCTTTGAAATTCATATGAACATGCATAAATGTTAGTATTGAGTGAGGTCTTTGAAATTCATATGAACATGCATAAATGTTAGTATTGAGTGAGGTGAAAAACGTATTTTAGCCTAAGATGGTTAAAATGGTGACACCTTATATAATATAGTGCCCACACTTCCTTGAATTTTTCCATAATTTTGAGTCATCAAATTATTTAATCAAATATGTAAAGCTTTTTGAACATCAGAAATTGGTGATTGTGGATATATATATATTTTTTTATCAATAATGGTATCTTTTATGATAAAAAGTTCAATCTTCTTCTTTTTAGTCTTGCCGATTTTATTTACAAGTATCATCATTTTTTACCAACAAAATTCATACTATGTGAAATTTTGTTGAGAAATTCATCATGCATAATACCTTTGATAGTCCAAATAAAACCCAATTCCTTTATATTTACAAAGGAAAAAATAGAGAAAAAACTTACCTTCGATTGAACCCAATCCAAATTGGGGATTGCTATTTACGCCCAATTTTCTCTATTTGCACCCATGCTTTTGCTCTTAAGCACCAAAACAAATGGGGCAAAAACCAAATGAGAATTTCCACCCAAGTCTCTTAAATTGCGCAAGAATGTTTTGTTTTTTATTTCTATTTTTTTCTCTATTTGCACCCATGCTTTGCTCTTAAGCACCAAAACAAATGGGGCAATACCAAATGAGAATTTCCACCCAAGTCTCTTAAATTGCGCAAGAATGTTTTGTTTTTTATTTTTATTTTTTTGGGTGAGTCAATGGGGAGAAGCCCTTGCCTTATTAGGAATTGAGCAAAATTTTTTTTTTTTTTGGACGAGTCAATGGAGAGAAGCCCCTACCTTGTTAGGAATTGAGTCTAAGACATAATGTTGCAAATTGTCAAGTGCTAACTAGTTAAGCTGGGACAAGTTAGTGGTAGGAAGAAACTCAAAACATTAAGTTATGGCGCTCTACCACCCTATCTACCTAGTCTCGAACCCATTCCTAAGGTTGCAATATTTCTAATGCTCTTTTTCTTGAGTGTTAAAGATTTCTAATTCTCAAAATAAAAGATGAATTAAAATGGAACCTAATTAATTTTACATATTATATGGTGAACATAAATATGAATGGGCCCTTGTCTTCGGTGGTCAAGGTGGTTGAACCATTTAACATATCAAAAATTATGAAATGAAAAATCAAATAAAAAAATCATTTCGCTTTATTATTCCTATAAAAGAAAAAAAAAGAGGGTAATGATCTATGCTCTATTAAATATCAAAGTAAAAATTTTTAAAGCTAAAAGAGAAATAGAAGTACACAAAACTTGACAAGGGTCCAACCTTTTTTTCCTCTAACTTGTTTGGGCCAAATATTTGGAGACGCTGCTCCCCCTCCTCGGAGGACAAACCCTCTTTGGTGCATTTCAAATGCTCGAAGACTTCCTCGATCGGAATCTGTTCCTGCAATTTACCAAAAAAAAATAAAAAAAGGAAAAGAAAAAACCCTTAGAAGTAAATAAATCGATGAACAAAAGTTGAGAAATATAGTCGTGGCCATCAATACGGCCCAGATGCAATCTAGGATGTTGGGCTTACACTATCCCATCAACTCATAGACTTACAGGATCTTTAAGTCAAAATAGGCATACTATATTATAATGGGTGCGGTTTGTATAGAGCTGAGGCTCTAAACAATCAAATTTGAGCCTACCTTCAAATAGTGTCAAGAAATGTGGATTCAATATTGGAAATATTTTGCTCGCCTTAAAATATATTTTTATCTTTAATTATAACATTTAAAATTTCAAAAATAGTGTAGATCGAGCAGATCTATAAAAACTTGAATAACTTAAAAATTAACGGTCAAAAAATACATTACAAGATACGCTATTTCCAAAACTTAAAATCCTTTTTTTTCTCAAGTCTATGCATCTTGATGTCGAGATGATCAATTTGAAGATATTTGAGCATCAAAACAACCTCTTCTAGTGAAATTTTTTAGGTAAGCTGTAATTTGAATGCTTAGAGCCTAAGCTATATATAAACTTTTCCCTATTATAATATAATATATAGCCATATACTCCGCTCCCTTGCAATTTTTGAGTTAAGAAAGGCTATATAATATAGTATGTAGCCATAAAATAAACACAACCATCTAATTTCAAATCTAATGGTCAAAATAAATTGTGACCACCTTATACCAAAGGTAAATGTCTTATTGTAAACATTTTTATAACATATAGCCATATAATCAGTGTACAAAAATATTCGCTGGACTCGGCCAAGTCTGGAAACACCTGACGGTAAGCTTAGCTAAGAAAATATTGTTTTTTAACTGATTGTTGATGCCACAATGTTAGGGCTTCTTCATAGAGGTGTGGGTCTGGGGCTTTACATTTTTACATAAGGTTGTAACCTTAAAATATAGAATTAAAAAAGCACATAAAAAATTTCATCATAAAAGGTTGTTTGGATGTTGGAAAACCCTCTAATTAATCACCTCAACATCGAGATGTATGAATAACAAAAGAAAAAACGATTTCGAGCCTGCAAAATAGTGGATCTTGCAACACATTGTCTGGACTATCCATTTCCAAGATTTTCATGTGTTTGTAAATCTACTTGATTCGAACTATTTTTAGAGAGTTTAAAATTTTATAATTAGATATGAAAATAGATTCTAAGCCATCCTAAGAATTTTTTTATATCAAAATTACATCTATCATAAAATTTAGAGATGCACCTTGTTTGAGGTTGCAACTTATTATTGTCAAACAAACAAAAAAACAAAAAAACAAAAAAAAAAGAAGAAGAAGAATGTTGCAACTATATGGAAACCACACTTATATTTGTATTGTATATACTATATTTATGTAAGCCCTGAAACTGTGAACCCCATGGGGTAGGGAAAGAAAGAACCAACCCAAATAACATTAAACAAAAAAGAAACAAGAAACATAAGAGGTAAAAACTAATCTATCATCTATTTCGAAAAAAAAAAAACTAATCCTGTGTGTGTGTGGGTGAGAGAGAATAGAGACTTACAAGATCAACAGCATGAAGAATGTCTTGGAGGGCAGTGCCTTCATCATCTGCCATCTCTTCAAACCAACAAAAGAGAGGATTCAGTCCCTTTCAAAATCTCTCCGTCTCCCTCTCTCTATGTGTAAATAAATATATAGGTATCTCCTTCACCCACCGATTGCCCTCAATTCTAAATCGATAAGAATTAGATTACATTGCCCTCAATTCTAAATCGATAAGAATTAGATTACATAAAAACCGAAAGTTAAGGGAATCCAAAAATCAAGTATTATCAACTTTCAGTTTCCGTTGCAATCAAATTTGTCCTACATATATAGTACGTATAGGGTTATTTCAATTATGATATATCCACTTTCCTACCAATGGACAGAGATTTACAAAGTTATGATAGAGAGAGGAAAATAGGATAATTTTAAGGAAGCCTAAGGAGAGGAGTACGTGTCGGTAATTGGGTGTGTGTGAGAGATATTCCCCAAATTTTTAAGAGGCATATTAATCTCCCTCTTTCATCTATCTAATATTTGTGAAAAAAAAAACCATATCTTTTTTTTTTTCTTTTTTGACCAAGGTTGCAAAAAATAAAAAAAAACCACCTCTTCATAACCTAGTTTTAGATCACTTGAATTAAATCATATTTTTATCTTTTGAAACTTTTTACTATTAGTTTTTAAATAACTAAAACTTTTAAAAAACTGTTTGTAGTGCTTTAAAATAAAACATGTTCTCTTTAAAGTAAAACGTGTAAGCTCTTAATCTCTTTCTAAATATCAACCCCTAACTCAAGAACTTCTAAACTTAGAACTATAATAACTACCATTAATTTCCTCCAATAACAAAAATATAAATTATTGCTCAAATTAAGTGAGAAGTTTAGAGAGAGGGCTTGTGCGTCAAGGGAAGATTTTTTGGATACCTCTCCTTAGGTAAGACTGAACAAAATTCAATGAATAATCCAAATCATAATAATGGCTATTATTAAGTAAATATTTTTAAGGGAAAGAACTTTACCGAAAATAATATATTTTGTTCCGCACTGAGGAATGGCGATCAGGTGATCTGGAGCCCAAAAAATCTAAATTTTATAATAATTGGACATGAGTCTCTCTCTATATATCTTGAGGACGTTATTTTTTAAGAGAAAAAATACTAAAAGATAATGATTTAAAAAAAAAAAAGATTTCTAATATATGAAAGGCAACGTGATTTTGAGAGAGAACTGAATATTTTCTTTCTAAATATCAACCCTTATCTTTATACAAACTTTGGATTATCAAGTAAGAGAAGTTGCCATTAGTCACATGAAATTACTATCTTTATGCAAACTTAAGATGATTAAAAAATATTAAGACCCACATAAAATTATTATCTAAGATTGGTATATTGTAGAAATTTTTTAGAATAATCATATTTAGGGAACCTAATATTTCAGGAGAGATAAATAGACAGAGAAAATATTGAATAAAGATTTTAGGAGAGAGAGAAGATACATGGGATTCACCTAAGAAGAGAGCGGTAGTTTTCATCTTGGAGAGCTTCAAAGTAATGGTATTTGAGAGAGCATTGGATTAAGGAGCCGTTTGGATCCATAGAAAAAGATTAGGTGAAAAAATCTATCTTATTTGAAATGTATTTCTCCATAAAAGTATTTTATATAAAATAGATTTATGCTGTTTCGATGGTATAGAGATGCATAATATTTTCATGGCTTTTGGTTTTTAAATTTTTGTTTTGTTAAATGCTCTAGATTGTATTATTAATTATAATGTAATTTTTTTTTTTTACTAAATTTGAGATAGTTTCTTTTTCTAAAATTTTTGAGAAAAA